GATAACTGGATTGCACAGGATATTGTCAGGAAGAAATGTGTATGAATTGTAGATACGGGTTCTCTGTGGTTGTACCTGTGCAGAAAAGCACTCTTTGATTAGAAAGAATCTATAGTGTTTGATGGTAAAATAGGATAAAGGTGCTCTGATATCAACAGGTGCACCTCAGCATGCTTATCACTTTAGAATGAGGAAAAAGTAGTGTTGGTGAGGTTTCTGGTCAACAGTGTCTGTCTGGACGTGGAACCTGGTTTGAAAAGATACTCCTGCTCCCAGCTATGCAGGGTTGTCCGTTGTCGTATCCTTTGTGCTGACTCTGGCATTTTTTCCCCCGTTTCCATAGTATAGGGAGAATAATTTGGCGCTATTAAAGAGATGAACTAACAGGGAAGGTGCAAGTTTTCTGCTGGTCTAGCAAGATGAATCAGTTCAGCAAGGAGTCAAACACATGCTGGAGTTAAGTGTCAGGGAGGTAGTGGAAGCCAGGTTGCTGTGGAAGGAGAGAGGAAGATGAGCTTCCCCCCAACCTCTGCTGGTGGGCGGAGGGGAGTGAGCTCTGATTCAGTCTGTCTTACCAGCTACACTGTGTCTTTTTGGGAAGATGAATGAAGACATGGGAAAGAAAACTTGACATAAGGGTTTTTGAGTTCTTCTTTTAAAAATCATTATTGCTAATAGTTTTATTTTGTAATAGCTCAACAGGAGGACTTAATTTTGGAACACTGGGATCTTCCACTGCTACAGCAACTACGTCAGCTCCTTCAGTGGGCTTTGGGAGTGGACTTTTTGGATCAAAATCAACCACTGGGTTTACACTAGGAGGTACCAGTACAGGTAGGAAAAGAGGTTTGCCTTTTAATTTTATAATACACCAGAAACTTAAATTAACAGGAAAAAAACAGTACGTGCACAAAACTAGGGTCATCGCAATGTGCTCCTGTGTTTTTTTGTTGTTACTGTTTTCTTTGGTAGTTCGGTAGATCATTGTATTGTTTAATAAAGCCTTTTTACAGAACTCTTTAAAAGCTCGCTAATCAAGAAGTATGCAGTACTGATGCTGTAGAAACGCAAATGCAGTTACCAGAAGCAGAAACCAGAACGCAGTTACCCTGTCTGGGCCTGTGTCTGAATTGTCTCATTTTGAATACTGTAGTTTTGCAAAAGTTTAACTCTTCATCCAGAATGTTCAAAATCATGATTTAAGATTGAGCTACGTTTTGATTTAATACAACCTTAAAATCACTTAGGTGTTAATACTTGCAATGTGATATTTGCAATTCTGCAGTTGCTATGACTTTTGATAAAGGATTTTGTTTTTACATAAACAATTCAGAGGAACAAATTCATGAACGTTTTCTTAGGCCTTTACTTCAGCCTGTGAATGTAAAAGTTCTCATAGGAGTCTTCTAAAAATTTGATTACAAAAGAATTAAACTTGTCTGGCTTGGAGTATTTTTTTCAGCCATCATACACCCATAAAATAATGAATTTTACTTTGTCTCCAGTGTTGTTAGAGAATATTACCTGTTTTTTGTTTTTTTTCTTACTCATTTTTATGAGTGGATGGGTTGATTCTTAGAACTTCACCCATTAGAAGTAACTTTAATAGTGGACTTAAAAGCCTGTCTTAACGTGTTAGTTTAATGTTGGGGTAACTTCTGTTTTATGTTACTGAATAAGTGTTTTGCTCTTCTAATCAACTACTTGAAAAAAAAATCTGAAATTGCATAGGGCTGTATTCAAAAGAGTCTATTTGGATTACCATGGGGCAGAAACTCTAAGGCAAGATGCAGGATTTTAGATGGACTTTGGACTCTGATCCTATTCATTACACTGTAGAGATCCTGTTTTACGTGTAAATTTTATGTGCTGCCCTATGACTGAAAAAATTATTGATACAATCCTTAGTCTCCGTATTTTTGTTTACATTTATTTCTTTGAAATTTAAAAGTTTGCTAAGCTGCTGTGTTAACCTCAGCTTCACTGACACACTCTTATAAGGAGGAATGGATTTCTTTGATTTTGTTTTGTTTTTTGTGCTGCTGGAGCTTACAAATACTGGTTTCTCTGTTAATGTTTATTTTGCTTTCAACATACTACACAAACTTAGCTTGTATAGTAGTCTACATATTAACTCATATGTTGCATTATTTCAGTATTTTGTATCATATTTTTTACTATCGTGAAAACCACTCTGTGGTCTTCAGTTACAGTCTTTGTGTGTTTTGTTTTTAAAGCAGGAACGGCAACAACTATTGCTACAGGATTGACACTAGGTAAGGACCTAATGTGGATGTTCATGATACACAGGCAAAAATATACTGGCAGTTACTATGTGGAAAGTTAGTGGTAGTGTGTGAAGTTTCTTCTCCTAGCCAACTGCAGCCTCTCTCTAAAGAGAGAGTAGAGCATCATGATGTTTCTCAGTGCCTTGATGCTGAACTGGGGTTGACAGGCTGAAGTTAAGACCGCAAACCAGAGCGGAGCTCTGCATTTCTGGGCACTGCGTTATTTGTTGCTAAAGCGTTATTCCATTTCTGTATAGGACTGTTCGCTACTTTAATCTTATAGAAGAATTGGGAGGGGACCTGGGGAATATGCTGTTTTAGTTTCTCTGATGCATCTTTAATGACTGTTTTTCAGTTGTCATTAAAAATATAGGCATATGGGGGGAGGGGTTGTGTGTGTTTGTTTTTATTGCTGCTGTTTTTAACAGCAGCAGCTAAGGTGTGAGCAAAAATTGAACTTGACAATATCATAAGTTTTGGAGGTGGGAGGAGGACTACAAAACAGATTGCTTTCCAGGTAGTCTGGAAGCCATTCTGTGGATAAGTAGGAAAAAAATTAGTGCTGTGTAATAGAAACAAATGAAACAGAACAGACTGCATGAAGTGTAATTGTAGATGGTGGTCTATACTACACAGATGAACAGTCATTCTTTTTAGTAGCCAAATAAAATGATGCCATCCAGTACATGCACAAGAGCAGTTACTGAGAATGCCAGGTTTCTGATGGTTGTTAACTGGCGTTTCTATATGTATATGCACTCCAATGCTTTATTTGGGAATGCAGATTCTACAGCATAAAACATATTTTCACACTGAAATTAACACAAAGTAGAAGCTTTGTTTGCTTTATTAACTACAGAGTTTAAGGGAATAGCATCTCAAGATATTTTTTCTTGTTTACAGATTTAAAAGGTACGTGCATTCATTCTGGTATGCATGTCCAGTAGAGATTTTTCTACGAACTGCTCTTGGTGGGAGCTCTTATTTTTACAGCTTTTTAGATAACAACTGGATATGAACTCCAGTCTAGGGTTAAAGCTCCTTAGATTACTAGCAATACTGGAGGAGCATGCCTTTACAATTAAAGTAAATGTTTGAAAAAAGTGATGTTTATTATTTGTTATTTTTAGGTGCTCCTGCTACCACATCAGCAGCTACCACAGGCTTTAGTTTAGGCTTCAACAAACCTGCAGGTTCAGCTACGCCATTTGCTTTGCCTATTACTTCTACCTCAGCAAGTGGCCTCTCGCTATCATCTGCTCTTACATCGACTCCTGCAGCAGGTAGGAAAACTTTTTCTAACTGTAAAAAAGTACTGTGCCTTTTTTTTTTTTGGTGACTTTAGGAAGGTTCATTGGACTTTAGTTCTACCTTGGTATACAAATATAGATGTGTTAGGGTTCCCTATGTGGTATAAGCAATGTGTAATCTATGTTGTGAAAACAGCAACAAAGCTAACTAGTCATGTAAAACCATTATTGTTTGTTATTTTTAACCCCACTGGATGTTGAAAGCTTCCCACTTTTGCTGTTGGAAAGTTTTAAAAAATACCTGCCTGTTGCAGATGGACTGAAATGGTTAATCAGTAGTGTAAATGAGATTCCTTATGTTGTTCTTGTATTGTCACACTTCTGTCATCGTATTTTAACTCTGCTAAGCGGTACTATGCATGATAATCATTAAGACTGGGGTTTATCTTTCTTAACCTTAGGAGTCTATGTTTGAGCTTGGTCTGTATACCCTTTATGTTCTGTCCCTTTCTGCTTATGGTCCTTCTCTACTCCATTCCTCTCTATCCTCCAAAAATTTGAATGGCTGATTCTAGCAGAAGACTTGGACTGCCATAGAGATATTTTTGTATCATCTGCCTTGTGTGAAGTATCTTAATGTTTAACATGAACCATTCAGCATTTAAAAATAAAAAGTTGGTAGTACCTATTAGATCCATTATGCCGCAGAGTAAATTCTGTGCCAGGTAGTTCCGGGTTCTCTGGCATTCTCGGGGACTCTCAAAATTGTAATATAGCCTCAGGCAAACTTAGGCTAATCAAGACTGCAATATGATGGTATAAAATTGTATGCAACTCAACAGTTTCTGGTGGTTTTGTCTGGAAAATCTGCAGGGTGGGGAAAAAAATTAATGGTTGAGGCTATTGTCCAGTGATGATAAAGATGCTATTGATACTTCTCATCAGTTGTTTCAAGTTGCCTGTGGCTAATAGTGTCTGTATGAAACTGATTTCTTTTCTCTGCAGGTACTACTGGCTTTACACTAAATTTAGGTGGTACAGCTGCTCCAACCACAACTGCTTCCACAGGCCTTTCCTTAGGAGGAGCCTTAGCTGGGTTGGGAGGTTCGCTTTTCCAGAATACAAGCACAGCAGCAACAGGTGAAGGTTATCTTAATCTTTTTCTGCTTCTTTCTCAAAAAGTTGAAATGTAGTATGTGCTTGTATAAAATCTTAATATAAAAACTTAAGTTTTTATAAAATCTTAATGCTTCCCTGGGAAAGTGTAATTTGTAAGTGATGCCATTGGGGAGCAGTGTTACTATCCATAAAAAAAAATAAAAACTGAAGTCATTGGTTTCTTTCTCATTCTCAGACTGACTTGTATTTTACAAATTTTTAATGGAAACCAGGGAAATCTCTCTGTCATTGCCATAATTGACTTGAGGAAATTGTTTGATAGTAAATACAAGGAGGCAATCTTACACAAGTATCTCCCTTAACTAAGGTGTGTTTGCTTTGTGGAGAAGTTGAAAGCTCCTTATGTTGGTGAGGTTTGGCCTGAATAAAATCTTTAACCTTCAATATTGTCGTTTCAGCTATTAACTGTTTTTGTCTCTTTGAGCTCTCAAGAAAAAATTGATTTGTTTCATTGGTGTAGCATTAGTAACGCGCTACTCACGCTCTAAATGGAACAGAAGGACGCTTCTTAAGATGCGACTGATAAAAGTTAGTTAGCTGTGTAGATCGGCTATCTAGTTATGTGAAGAAATTATATAAAACAATTAATGTACAGTTGTATGAAACTTAACATTATTCTGCTTATTTTGCATGTATATTTAATCCAAATGTACATAGGCACTGCAATTGCAAGCAAAATAATCTGTGTTTTTAGTTTAAAATGCTGATGATTACAATGTATTTTAAATACTGAAATTCTTTTTGGGTGTACTGTAGGACTTGGGCAGAATGCTTTGAGTTTGACTCTGGGGACAACTGCAGCTCCTTCAACTACTGTTAATGAAGGTCTTGGTGGCATTGATTTTAGTAGTTCTTCAGACAAAAAGAGTAAGTTCCTTTTTAGAATGTGCATAACTGATATGGCATGCCATAATTTTTACTGAGGGAATTATCAGAGCACTATAGCGAAGGCACTACTTAGTTTTGTTAGGAATGTGGAATTAAAACCAACAATTTTATCTCCTCTCCCCCCCCCCCAAAAAAAAAGCACTTCAGTTAATTTAATTCTTAGATACTTTCATTCTTAGATACTATACTTGCACAGAAGAATAAGATTGTAGTTGAAAATGCAATGTTTTATTTATATGTGTATATTGCTTATTATTATTTAAAAAGTATACGCAAGGATCAGACCTGAAGAGCAGGGGTTTGAAATGCTATGCTAGATTTCCAAACAGCTATGTGTCAATAGCCACTAGAGGGGGGAGCAGAGCTATGCATAAGTGTGCTGCAAATGCAGAAAGTACTTGTTAGAGAACAAGTTTCTTCAGTTGTAACAGATCTTAAATTTGTCTTTTTTGCCCTTTTTTTGTGAAACCCACACAATAGAACTTTCTCTTCTCTACCTGTTACTTCTCAAAGTTGTATTTTTAGTGGAGCACAGTGCTATCTGATAAAACCTAGCACTTTGTTAAAACCACCTATAAAAACCTACCTCCGTGGTAGCTTTGAAGCCCTTAAATGGGGGAATACTGAGCAGTGAGATATAGACACTTACCCATTTGTGTGGGTTTTTTGTTGTTGTTGTTTATTTACTTCCAGAGTAATAGCAATTAAAACTGATTTTTTAAAATAAATACTGTGCATTTTCTTTGGGGATTCAATACTATTTAAATATCTTGATTTCATTTGAGAGGCAAATTTGAGATTAGGTATTCTAGTAGCTTAAATAGCAGGAAACGTAGAAACTCTTTGAAACCATCTTTCTGGAGTAACGCGAGTTGTGGAAATGTAGATCCTCATATCTGTAGGAAAGATAGCATATTGACTATGTGAACTGGAGTACTCTGCATGTTGGGGAGGCTTTGGGGTTTTTGTTTTTGGGGGTGTTTTGGTTGGTTGGTTGGTTTGTTTATTTGTTTTTGGAGGGGAGAAGACTACTGAGGCTGGGAATACTGGGAAAAGCACAGACTCCTAGGTTCTCATTACTATTATACTACAGTGTCTTGCTGTTATTTCGCAAGACTTCCATAATATACAAGTATCTTGAAGTGAGGCCTGGAGGACCATAGGCTGAATCTCGCTGCTGGCGTATCGCAGCATTGTTTTGCCCAGCTTTTAGGGTGGAATCCCAAATGAATTAAATATTGAATTCCCTATATATTGCATAGTGGAATTTGGTGCTTAGACTATAGGCTTATGGTCAGGATGATAAGCAAAGCATTTTCCACTAAGCTAACCAGTGGAAAATGCTGTTTGAGTTTACACTTCTCTTTAGAATTTAGGATTTAACTCTGGAGTGTTTCTTGTAATTAATAGTCCTGATTTAAGCAGCCAAACATATATTGCTGCCTCTGTACTGTTATTTCAGTTGTGTCAGTGCAATTATCTGTACCACTGTATAAGGAACTGTATAAAGGTTTGGGGGTGGGAGGGTTGTTTTGTGGTTGTGGGTTTTTTTGTTTTGTTACCTTTTTTTTTCTTCCTTCCCAAAGAAAAGGAAGGAGAGGTGGCAGAAGCCGACACTGCTACCAAAAAACTGCGTATGAAATTATAGCCCTAGGAATCATAGGGCTGATGGGGACCAGGAACTTCATGCTCCCTTTTGGTTCTAAAAACTTTTTCTTCTGGAGACAGAAGACTGACTCCCTAATATTTCCTTAAAATATGAGTGCAGTAAAATAAGCTGTTTTCATATACCAGTTTTCTTCGTGCGTTAGCATAGGAACTAGAGCACTTGCCCAGAAAGTAGCGGGATCTGATTTGAAACCCGTGTCTTTAATTTTATAGATATTGTTCAGACGAACAGCAAAAAACAAAAGTTGAGTGGCTAGAGAGAGAGAAAGCAAAGTAAATTTATTTTTCTGTATAATTTTTAACTTGTCAGCTGAGAAAGGAGTCCTAAATTCTGGTCTTTACCCTTCACTACTTTTTGAAAAGGAATAGGGAGTGGTCATGAGACTCCACTTAAATTTTCTACGTGCCCTAATACTGGGGGACTCCCCTTGCTCTTTCTCTGGCAGCACAAATTTGCACTCAGTTCTGTAGATAACGGAAGCTGATGTTGCTTCTAAAAGTGGCTTGTCTCAGTAGAAGCACTACCTTGTGCGGCTTAAACTATTTGTGGCACTAGCATTAGTTTTATAGAGTTGCAAATGAATCGGGATCATTGGAGAGATACTGTTATAGAATCACAGAATAGTTGAGGTTGGAAGGGACCCCTGGAGATCATCTAGTCCGGCCTCCCTGCTCAAGCAGGTTCACCTAGACCAGGTTGCCCTGGACCCTGGTCCAGATGGCTTTTGAACATCTCCGGGGATGGAGACTGCACAGCCTTTTTGGGCAACCTCTTCAGGTGCTCTGTCACCCTCACGGTAAAGAAGTTTTTCCTCATGTTCAGACAGAGCTTCCTGTGTTTCAGTTTGTACCCGTTGCTTCTTGTCCTATCCCTGGGCACTACTGGGAAGAGTGACTCCATCCTCTTGACACTTTCCCTTCAGATACTTACACACATTGATTGGTTCACCCTCAGTCTTCTCTTCTCCAGGCTGAAGAGTCCCTGCCCTCTCAGCCTTTCCTGTGTAGGAGATGCTCCAGTTCCTTAATCATCTTCGTAGCCCTCTGCTGGACTTGCTCCAGGAGCTCCATGTCTCTCTCTTGTACCGGGCAGTCCAGCACTGGATAAAGTACTCCAGGTGTGGCCTCACCAGGACTGAGTACAGGAGGAGGATTTGTGTGCCAGACATTATCACCTTAACTGATGAACTATTGTCCTTGAAAGGATGCTTATCTGTGAAAGGAAAGTAAATTAAAACCCTTCTTTCATGGCTAGTACAGTGTCTTCCTCTTATGAAATCAAGCAGATAGCGGTCTTTAGTTCTTCCCTAAAAATCTCATTAAGGTTATTTTGCTTGGTATTTCTTCAGAGTTTTATTTCTGACCTACAATTTTTATTTTCTAGATGACAAAACAGGAACGCGACCAGAGTAAGTGTTGTGTTTTTCTTTACGTTCTCTGGGTTATAAGAAAAAGCTACACTTAATATTTTGTGTTTTCTACTACACTGATCTCAGAAATAAATAAATAAATGTAAATAAACGGCTTCTGTAATACGAATAATAATTTCATCCTTTTAAACATCAGTTGCACTTTTTGCATCAGATATAATACAGCTTATCTGGTTGCTACTGTAGACTTATGTGGTCTCTGGAAAAAATCAGCAAAAAGCATACAATGCTTACGTAAGATCGAAGACTGAAATAGCATCCACTGAGTGTGTGCGTTAATCCAAATTACTACTAGCCGCAACATGCGTATAACAGGCGCAAGCTTATATAGTTAATTACCTGAAAGTTTTCATTTTGTTTAGAAATCGTGTGAAAATGTTTGGCAGTATTAAAGCACCATGTAAACATAAATTTTCTCTTTGTAGGGATAGCAAAGCGCTAAAGGATGAAAATCTACCTCCAGTAATCTGTCAAGATGTAGAAAATCTACAGTAAGCAGCATTTGAGGGTTGTAGGGGTTTTCTTGGGAGATGGGGGGGATGTTTGTTTCTGTGGGTGTGTATTTTCTGTGATTTGCTTGTTTTTAACAGTTGAATAGCCGGAATAGTATATCCTGTTAATGCTCTGTAGCAAAAACAGCATGCTGCAGGCTGCGTGCAGGATAACTTACCCAGCCCAAAACCTGTTGACATGTTAACCCAGGATCCAAGTAGATGGATAGTTCTGGTAGCTGGAGCTGCTTGTCATAGGCTGTGGTCTTTTTCAGTCCCACTTTTCTACACGTTTACAGATATGTCCATGGCTAATAAATATGCTCCTAGAAGCTGGTCCAGCTCTCCCTGGGATTATTAAGCCTGTTGTGCACACATAGTAAGTGCCGGACCTTTCCGTGTGCACTGTGGCTCTCTTGGAATCAAGCGAACTGCAAAACGGCCTTCCCTTGGTTAGGAAGAAGGCGAGTAGTAGACTAGTCGAAGAAGCTGGTTGTCACTGTATTTGAGAGTTCAAAGCAATCATATATAAATATTTAATAAATGAGGATATAAGCTTAGTTTATCAGGGGACAACATAACATTTAAACAGTTGCTATTGAAATTGCTGCTTTTGATTTTTTTTTTTTTTGACTATTAGCATGCTAGGAGTTATAATACTATGGTGTACAGTAATTTTAAATTTCAGTATTTGATTTCAGAAAGATTGATTTTTATCCCTGTTGAAATAATATACCAATGTTGTAAAAACATGAGTACTTCAATTAACATAATATATGTTTCTCTCCCTTCCTCTCCCCTCTCTTTCTCTCCCCTCCTTTTCTTTCTTCTTCTTTCTCTCTCTCTCTCTTTTTTTTTCTCTTTTCTTTTTCCCTTTCTAAGGAAATTTGTGAAAGAGCAAAAACAAGTTCAGGAAGAAATTAGTAGAATGTCCTCTAAAGCAATGCTTAAAGTACAGGAAGATATTAAAGCTTTGAAACAACTTCTGTCTGTAGTTGCCAGTGGATTACAAAGAAACACTCTTAATATTGACAAGCTGAAAATGGAAACTGCACAGGTAGATTTGAATATAAATTCTGTTAACTCAAGTTTGTGTGTGTTATTTCATCTAGGATAAATAGTCAAGTTAATAAATGGAAACTCAACTATGTTGTGACAAAAACAGTTGTAAAGTGAAAAGTAGAATCCTGGGAGGCTGGCTGTGAAATATATAGTGTTTGTGTTGTCAGATAAGTACAACAGCCGTTACGTGACCATCATTCAGAAAAGTGTTTTTCTGCCGCAAAGGCAGCGGAAGGGAATGTGTGCCCACTTAGGTTAGTTCCACTTCTACATTCATTGAAAACTTGTTTGCAATAACATGCTGCTGAGATGCAAGTTCATATTTTCTTCTGATGACTCTTAAACAGCAAAATTTCAGGGACCGTCATGTCTTAACTATCACTAGTATATGTTTAGTGGACACAAGGCAGAACTCATAAAGGTAAAAATATTGGGTGGGTTTGTCTTTTTTCCTGTAACTTGCAGTACTAAAAGGAAACACTCTTTAGTTTTTCCTTGGAAACTATTTTCTATCTCCATAAGCAATGCAATTGAGAATAATCAAAAAATGAGGCATTGAGAAATTGTTAATGATGGTTTTTGGAAACCGTTGGACAGAAGTGTATGTGCGTGAAAAAGACCATGAGGAAGATTCTGCTGAAAAACAAGCATTTTGTGAACTAGTAAATGTTTTCATTAAAAAAGCAAATTCTTTCTGTTTATTCCCTTTTTAGATATGTTACTTCCCTGCACTTAATTTTACCCGTTCCTCCCTGCCACAGTCTTCAATAATTATATCAGTATTTCTGAAGTATGTTAGAAACTAATCTTAGCTGTAGCTATTTAGTGCAATACTTTCTAAATTACTTAGTGCTCAGCATGCTTTCAGGATAAAAGGTTGCTTGTTTCTTCTCCAAACTTCTGTTGCATTTATAGTGTTCCATCCCTTGGCAATCTATTCTTTGAGGAATTTCTAGTCAGATTGTATCACAATTTTAACTTAAATATTTAAAAAAAAAAAAGTATATGAATAAATTGTAGCATTGTAGCTGTGTGTGTTGTTTTTTTTTTAACAGAACCTTATCTTTTTGTTAATTTTCCTTACTTATTTAGGAGCTGAAGAATGCAGAAATAGCACTAAGAACACAGAAAACTCCTCCTGGTCTTCAGCATGAAAATACAGCCCCAGCAGAGTAAGTTACTCTTATAAATAAGAGTAGTCATTAATGTAATTTTGTAAGTTGACTTTTTTCTGCTTTTTGTGAAATGTGTACTGAATGCTCATGGAAACTATATTTTTATTTCTATGCTTAGTTTATCTTAGCCTTTCAGTACTCCACCATAGACATGAGAAATACAATCCTTGCTCTCTTTCCGTTAACAGAAGTGTCATAAAATATACCTGCTGCAAGTAATGGAAGGAATGTTAATAGCTATTGCAGATTTGAGAATAAAAATAGATGTCAAATTAGCAAAGTTTAATCATGTAATCCGATTGTTTTACTCATCTAGCTACTTCAGAATCTTGGTTGAGCAGTTTGAAGTACAGCTGCAACAATACAGGCAACAAATAGAAGAACTGGAAAATCATCTTGCTACTCAAGCAAACAATTCGCACATAACTCCACAAGGTAAATGTTCCAATTTTAATGTTTTTTGCACGAAAACTAAGAAATGTTATACCTATAGGAAAAACTTTGCAATTACTTCTGTCTTTAATTACTGTTAGCATTGCTTATTTAATGCACAGAAATAAGTGTTCAGATAGATATTGTGATTGCTTAATATAAAGATTTGGAGTTTTAGCCTTTAATTCAGAAAGATTCTTGAGCTTTTTAAGATGGTTGCAGTTCCTGAAGTGAAATTTGTAAGCCTGGCTCGTGTTATATAGAAATTTTGCTACCAGAAAGATGTAGATGCCTACGAGTAGAACTCACAAGTTCTGAACTGCTGAAAAATAGGAAATACCAAGAAGCATAGTATGTTTTGCACTTGTTTGTTCTGTCTCGCTTTAAGGTCTTATACAAGACTGCGTGAGCTTTCTGTGCGTTTAGCTGACACTCGCATAGAGGCTGGGAGTAGGAATTTAGGGCTCCTAGGGGGCAGGAGGTACCTCTGAGACTTGATTTGCCAAATTTGAACTCAAGTTTTAGGCTCTCTTCTAGCAGTCTCTCTGCATTCCATCTATGTTGCGCTCCTTTATGTTCCTGATGAGCTCATATACATCAGAGCAAGCTTCCTACTCTTCATTCATTGACTCAGCTCAAGATTGCTTGGTCTATTGATTATGTTGAGTTTCTAAACGTTTTTTTTCTTTTGTCTTTATTTAGTTTTCTGCCTTACATACGTAAGACATAAGGGACTCCTATGGCATGCATTACATAGTTAACATAACAGTGAGAATCTTCTGGATTTTTTTTTTTGTTCTGTTCTGTCTTTTTCCTACCTTCCTTCCTACTCTCCTTCGTTCTCACATCCCCTTCCACTAATACAACTTAATCTGCTGTTTTAAGATGAGGTGCAACAGAAGTGCTTATCCATGGAAGATATCAAAGTGTCTTCACTGCTGTAGATCAGTTTGGTTTCCCTGTGAAAGTGCTATCTGCGAGTTTTTCATTTTCAGGAATACGAGACGAAGATCTAGTTATACTCTGAGAAGTAAACTTACACAGTTGGTTTGGCTCTGGGATATAATCTTCCATTCAAAAGACTCTTGTCAAAATGGCAAGCACAGGGATGAAAATTGCTTCTTTGAGAAAAGTGTTTCTGTAATGTATCTTCTATAAATCTCTGAGCTGGATGGATGATGCTGACAAAGCCTGAAAGTGAGAGCATTGATGTCTACTGTATTCATCTTCCTTCCTTCAGCATCTAGCTGTTATAAGTCTGGTGTCTGGCATCTTCTTGCTTGACCGGACAAGTACTGGCAACTGCCCTGCCTGTTCCAGTTCAAACTAGGAGCTTGTCTCTGATTTTGAGCTTATTGGCTTTGCCTTCAGCTCTGCCTGATTCTGTTTAGTCTTGCGTGGTGCCATGTCATTCAATCTTGGGAGAATTATTGGACCTCTGAACAGTAGCCTCTGGCTTCCTATTATTCCTGTGATCATAGGAACTCTTATCTTTTTGGCTGTTTTAGGTATGAGTCTATCTGTAAGCAGTGAAATCAAGTGCGTACATTTTTGTGCCGAACAATACTTCAATATCTTGCCATCACAGGGTGGTACTTTTCTTTGACATATGAGGTGCAGAGTCTAAGAAAATTCTGTAGACCTAGCTTCCGGCAGGGAAGATCTGCTGCACCTTGACTCTCCTTTCCATAAGATTCTGCCTGTTCAGAGTATCAGAGCAATGTCGTCACGGATTTTTCCTTAGGTTTTTCAACTGTGTCTGCTATAATCTAAAGACTCCTTGCGTATGTGGCAAGGTCCAAACTGCTTTACTAGCCTGTTGAGGCTGTGGGCAAAGGCTGTAGCTGGCACTGTTTTGTAGATGTGGCCACTGTCCTTTTATAATACAGGAAGAACTGAGAAATTGTGGCCCAGAGCGTCTTGAGAATTTTCAAGCCTAGTATTCAGTTTTAATAAACTGTTTTCAGACTCCTGGAGCTTGTAGCCAGAGCATTCCTAGATACCACTGGCTCCACATCCCTGCAGATTTCTTCTTTCTCAACTTTTCCTTTTCTAAAAGAAATCCAAAATATAATGGAGATTTCTTTTTTTTTTTTTTTTTTTATCAGCAGCTGCCTCTTTTTGCTCAAACCTTTGAGATATTCTCCTTTATTTGTGAGGTTTTGCGTTATGTGGGTGCATTGAAAACACTCCTGTGTCTGTATCGGAAGTAGGATGTCCTACATCTAAGACTTGATTAGGTAACAAAGCTCCCCGTTGTGTCATTCTCTGTTTAATGAGCACAATATGTTTGTGCGTAGAGCTAGTGTGAAAGGAGTCCCGTGAGGCTTGTTAATCATATCTTTAAAAAGTAAGTAAAGTTTCTATACTACTGTTATCTCCTTGGCAAAATCAACTGGACACTTAACTATGCATTAACTCAGAAGGGTTGGAAAAGTGTAGACAAATTCAAGAAAACCTGATCTAACAGTATTTATATTATAACCAACGAGGTAAAATGCTCCTGTGTAATGAAAATTTGGATAAAATTAAGTTAAATTTCTTTTAGTTTTGCTAAATGACAGAATCATGGGGGGAAAAATGGTCATATATGTTTTTTTTTTTTTTAAAAATTTTTTTTTAAAAAAGGGGGGGGGGGGAGGAGTGAGGAACAGTACTTTACAAAACAAGTTTGAAGCCCTCAGAAATAGCATTGAAAAAAGTGGTCTTGAACTGCTGCAAAACTGATCTTGTGTTGCCCAATTACTCTCATATTCTGGATTTTTCATAGACATTCATTTTTCTCATGAATTTTTTTCAGTGCTTTCTGTTGTATGAGTTTGTGGGTTCTGTCAAACTTTTTTCATCTTATTACAGTATAAATACTGAGGGGGTGGGGGATAGTTTTATGTTTTGTTTTTCCCCTGGGAGGAAGATTGTTATTTACCAATATTTTACATGCTTCTTACAGATTTGTCTATGGCTATGCAGAAAATCTATCAAACGTTTGTAGCTTTAGCTGCACAACTTCAATCAATACATGAAAATGTAAAGGTATGTTGTCTTGATGTGTTCCTGTGTATTTAGTGAAAGAACTACAAAACAGCATTTGTTGGAAAAAATAATATATATCTTCAAGGGCTCTTTTTATCTTGTGAAGCTGTTGCTTTTAAACAGTCTCAAGCAACTGTCCCAGAGAAGTGCTCCGATAAACTTACTTTTGTTCAGCTGAAGTAGTCTAATTTGAATTCTTTACTTACAGTGATGGTGGCAACAGTGACCATAGCCATTAAGGTTGCATAATGTTTTTTCATTTACCTCTTTTCCTTTTTAATTTCTATCTTTGAGCTGATGCTTGTATGCTTTGTTCTTTGCCTGAATTGTCTTGTGATTTCAAGCAAAGATGATCTAAATCTGCTCTTACTCAAATAGGTAGCAGAAAAAAGTAGATAGTAGTATATAAGACTTCTAACATAATACAATTTTCACCAAAATTCTTTGCTCTGACTTAATTTTTTCACCCCAATTTTCATGGAAAGTCATAAGTATACAAAAAGTGACTATTAAAAAATGCTAATATAGCAAAGCTTCAGAGGAGCCGGATTCAACCTGTATTTCCATCCTGAACTGTATGGAATGGAGCAGAACTTCTGTCTCTAGCTTAAACTTCTCGTTCCACTTCTGGACGTACTGGAGAAATACATTCTGCAAACCTTTCTTCCTACAAGATCTTTCTTAGGATTAGTACCCTTCTTGCTAAGGAGGTGGCTTCGTTTATGGGAAGAGCTCTGGTAAAACTTCTGTTTGTTTCTCTTCTGAAGATTCTTCTTTACAGTAGTGCCAGTTTCTCTAGAGATCTGGAACTTTATTTTTCCTGGATAAAACTGACGAAAGCTGAGGCTGTTGTAAGAACTAGATTCTTCAGGTTTCATCGCTTCAGTCAGCATGGGTGTTGACTGGATTACGGCTGGAGGGGTTTTGTTTTTGTTTCACTTGTTTTTATTTTCTCCTTCCTCTCTCTTTTGTGGTTGACCTTGTGTTGGCTGACTTTGTATTCTTTCATCAGATGTTTGTGCTGCTTTCAGTTAACTCATTTTTGGTATCAGGTATTGAATATATTAGTTCCTCTGAGGTTTCAGCAGAATGAGGCAGAAAGGATGTGTTTTGGGCTCTTCCCTCTTGAGATCAGAGTGTAGTACTGACTAACTTGTGCTCTGTGGTGATACTTTTTTTGCTGTTCTTCAGTGTGAAGAGCTGGCTTAGGAGGCAGACACGAGTCGTATCATCTTTGGTACCTTGTCGACATGACTGAACAGGAAAGCTTAAATATTCTATTGCTTGAAACTAGGAGTTAGCTTTTGGGGGACGGTGTCAGTTTTTTGGGAGAGGTTTTTAGGTGAATTTTTTGTTTTTGAGACTTAATCCAGGAGGCATGAAGGCTGGTATTTTGGAAGGTATGATTACAGCTAAAGTACTAAAAATTTAGAAGGAAATTAATGTACTCTTTAAGTGGATCTGCATTTTGTTTATCAACTGTTAAATGCTAGGAGAGAAGAGCAGTTTTGAACCTGCTGTATCTAACTTTTTCCGATGACTGTGATATGACTTATGAAGCCAGAGCTGGTGACTCTCGAATATTCCTCTCTCTGAATTAGGCTTTCTCGTTTGCACATAGTTTGATTCAAATATCTGAAGTTACAGAAAATATAGGCTGAGATGTCTTAATGCTAGTTGTTAGCTGGGTTAGTTTATAAATGTATTTGTATCACATATGACTGTAAAGATACATTCAGTATGCAAGTTCAGTGGAGAATGAAGTGTGCTTGGGCACAATTCTGATACAAAATTTTATTAAATCATTCTGTGTAAATTAGCCTTAAGAACTGCTGTCTAAAGTCTTATGACATTTCTGTGAGCTCCTATAGCAATCAGTATGGCATTGCATTAAACCTCATCCAAGTTGTAGGAATGTCTTTACTGTCCAGAGACAGCACTCCTGATACAATACTGGAATCGTTCTTTCTGATGCATCTTTCCGATGCAGGCTTATAGCCCTTCAGAATTTTTGAACAGGAAATTAGAGTGTTCATCTTCTCAGAAACAAGTGTCGTCTTAGCCTGGAACACAAGAAATAGTGTTTTCTCCATAAATTAAATCTTTTGGGTTTTTCTGCTTTCTAAACAAATATGTTGCATGTAAAGGTCCCCTGTTAGAAGATGGAAGTCATTCTGTCGATTCTTCAAATGAAGACATTTATTCCTTGTGTGTTATCTAAGATATCCATAATTCTTTTATCTTTGAGGGAAGTGGAAAAGAATCGTGATGAAAAGGCCAAGCCAGCTGCCGCCACAAAGGGGCGGAGGTGGGAAGGGGAAGTAAGTGAAAGGGATCAGATTTATGTTACTTGATAGTGGTACTAAAAAAGAAACGCAAAAGAGAAAAGAAAGAGAGAAACAGATAAAGGATGAGGAATAAAAGAAGGCTATATGCAGAAGTGGCAGCATGAAGAGTGTATTCCCAGCTGATGAAATCTTAGCTTATGTAATAAGCTAGTTATGTGACTATATTTCGCTTCTTAGCTGCTCCACTGACAAAAGTGGATTTGTGCTGATTTACACCGCCTTTGACAAATTTTGATATCTTTTTGGCATCTTGCTATTAAGTTTGATCACATTGTAGAATTTAAATAAAGAACCTCTTTTGACCGTAGATGGTGCAAAACGGTTCTCTCCAGCTCATTACATGAGTAGTTTCTTGGAGGATTTCTAAGGAAATGTTATAAATAACCTGGTGTGTCTTTCTGCTTACTAAGTGAAGGCTTTATGTCAAATACACTGGACTAAAATGTCTTCCCCCTCCTGCCCCAGATGCTCAAAGACCAATACCTGGGCTACAGGAAAACCTTTCTGGGAGATGCCGTGGATGTGTTTGAGGCAAGACGAACAGAAGCTAAGAAGTGGCAGAGCGCACCACGTGCTACCAGTGGACCGATCCCTTTCAGCAACATACCAAATGCAGCAGCCGTTGCGATGGCTGCAACACTTACTCAGCAGCAGCAGCCTGCTACAGGTCTGAGTGCATTCAAGTTATAGATTATTAGCGTTACAACAATAGTAAATTTGTGTAAAATTTTCTATGAAGTCTTCCTTTGTGTTAGCCTAAAAATTTAAACATTGTGATGAGCGAAGTTATTGATACATAGCCAATAGAAAAAGGCAGGGTAGACTTAGCAATAATTATACAACAGATATTTAATCTTGTGAATTTACTTGTATTAGTGATATTTACTGTATTGTTCTAATTTACCCCTTGGAATGTGAGTCTTCACTCTTAAGTAACATCTCTGAATATACATAGTATAGCCTCTTTCCAAAATTGTCCGGTTATAGTAAATTATTTTCAAATCAGTGAGAAGAGAATATCTAAATGCATATTACCTTTTTATTATGTAAAATGAATGATGCATTTTTATACAGCACTTTGGAATTGTAAAATGAAAAATGCTCTAGAACAGGAAAGATAGTGGAGCGATAGCTGTAGAATAGGAAGATGGATGCCTGGCTGCTTATTTTATAGCTAACTCCTTTGGCAGGGTGATGTTGGAGCAGTCTGTTGCTCGCCATTCTGCTGTTACAAATAAATACTAGCAGAGAAAGTAGAGTGGATGGGTGATTCTGTGTGTTCACGTGTGTATAAGAGAAAGACCAAACAAGTACATGACTCACTGCTAATCAAAGACGATATGTGTGGCTAAGGAAATAACATAAGGCACCTTAGTTGACGTTGTTATACTAACCAGTGCTTTTCAGAGGTGAATTCCTGAAGTTAAAGAGTTGAACTGATGTCTAATCACTTAGCAGAAACAATGGCCTCCATTTAATTTTATGTCTGTGTCAGTAAATTATGAAAACCTTAGTTAATAGGTGCGCTGAAAGTCATCTTAGCACCCCTTCCCTCACGTATTTTATAACAGTTCTTATATATTGAATGGTTTTAATTAGAGAGCTATTCAGCAAGCACCTTAAGTGTTTGACAAACTATTAGGCATTACTTGCCTTCTCTGTAAAATGAAAATATAATGTACTTCCAGCCCTGGCCCTTACAAACAGCAAGAAGATCAGTCAAAAGACAAATGTGAGGCCAAAATATTCTGAGCACAACAAAGGAAGTTATGAAATAGTGCTCCTTAGAAGTAGTCCTTTAATCTTCTTGTTGTGCTACTATCATAATCTTTGGAAATTCTGTTGAAGTGGCAGATACGAAAGAGTCTATTTTTAAACAGAAAACGCTATGAAGTAATGTTATGTCACACTTCTGGTTTTTAATATAGAGAGGTGTTTGTCTTGTGCACCTAATGTTGCCAAAATATTTCCCCCTCTATTCATCTTTCTCCTTGTCTCTTGTTTCTTAAAATCTCCTCAGTCGTTACAGGATTAACTGTGCATGAAAGTCATATACTTAAGATGTCACATTCAAAGTTTTTACCTGCATTTTTATGACTTGTGGTGAGGGATTCAAACTTCCTTCTCCTGGTCCCGATTCAAAAGAACTGCTAGTAACTGCAGTAAACTTACACCAACTATGACATGACTTTATGAATGTCCTCTTAGAGGTAGGAGGGGGAAAAAAAATGCAGACTTGCCCTGTGCCAACACAAATGAGGTAAGGTGACTTTATAGCTTCAGGTATTTTGTAACATTTTGTAATCAAAGGAGCATCTATGTGTTTTGTGAAGTATCTCAAAAGCCAAAAATGTGCCAACTACAAGAGATCATGGTTGCAGGTAGAATAAAGCTATTAACTTCTCACGCATGCCAAGAAAAGTAGATGACAGCTTGAATTTACTGCTAATTCAGCTGGAGTATTGTCACTCCATGAAACTTTTCCTTGTTAAGCTGGCAATAAGAAACAGGTTGACACTTTGAGTGGCACTTCAGAATATTTACAACTCTTTAAAAATAAATAAATAGGATTAGATGGAGCTTGAAGTCATCTTATCTGTTCCTTCACCTCAAAAGCAGCGTCAGTCAGGCTGTTGCCCAGAGATCTTTGTTCTGTCTTAAACACTTGCTATGAAGGAGAATTCCACAGCTTCCCTAAACCATTCTCAGTTTTTGACTTTTTTTTTTCCCCCTCAATGCTTTACCTGAAACTTCTTAGCTTCAGTTTAAGGCCACTACTTTTTGTCTTATCCTTCTTCTTTTCCACTGAGAATCTTTTCCTTCAGTTTTGCAGGTATCTTTAATTTTAAGACTGTCTTCTCTTAATTTTTTATTCCTTGTCTGAGGAAAAATTTTCAGATGTCTACCTGGTGCAGAAAAACCCTACAAATACTTGCATTTTTTTAACTTTATATTATTGCTAATTTTTATAAGCCTATCCACCAGTAAAAGTTAAAATCATGCATATTTCTTTACAAGTTCTAGATCATGAAGAGTGGGATGTAGAAGGGATGATAGAAGGTTTTGAGAAGAAAGATTTTGAAGTGAGGAGGTGTATGTATTGGGGGTGGGGTGTGTGTAATACCTGACCTCCTGTTGCTGTTCTTGAAGATAAGAATAAAACAAAAAAAATTAATCTGGGCTTTAAAGTTTTTGATTAAAATGTAATATATGGTACTCTAATATTGGGGGATCAGGATGGTTATGTCTTTTTTCTTAATAATTGATGTTTACATGGTTAAGTCTATTTCATAAGGTTGACTTTGAGTTAATGAGTTACTGTTATTTCTCTGGAAAAAACAGATCATAACTTGTGAACATGAATTTTAAAATAAATTTGAAAGGTTTATTAACTGCATCTAAACTGTGGGATGCCGGCAGGTTTCCCACTTCGTGGGGGTAGGTATGCACCCATCTATGTTCTATCTGTATGCCTAGACATGACTCAGGGGCACGCCATCTCCTTTTTTCCCTTCCACATCTGGCTCCCACTGGGACGATGCCAGTGGATCCTGGCTGTATGGAAGGAAGGGAGCAGAGGTGCGCTCTACTGGTCCCCTGGGGTAGATAACCAGGAGACCAGAACTGTGGCAGGCACAGTGGAGCACAATTTCTATGCCATTTAATAGAAGCTAGAGTTATTAAAATAATGCTTAAGTCTGCACTCAACTTTTCTCCCCAAACTTCGCACTTTTTGCCCTGAGTGCAGCTTTCAGTAGCAGTGGTGGCCATGCTTTTGTGCACTAGTAGCTAGAATTTTAACCACTGCCTCACCTGCACCTTCCCTGAGCAGTCCTTTAACAGCATGGAAGTTAATATGGTAGTGGCCAGTCTACCTACGTTATTACCATTGATGGTACTAAAGTGAAAGATTTTAAGGGAAATTAAAGCCTAGTGAATGAAGAGCTGTAAATGCACAACTTTGAAACTGATGTAGTGTTTTTCTGGTCAGACTTACCTGTCTTAGGTTAGCTTGGAGAAAAGCATTTCTTTTCTTCCTTATATATATATAGAAGTTACTCTCTCCTTAACTGGTCAAGTATAGAGTGAGTCAAAACATTATGAAGAGACTAGCATGTTGTTTTAACTTGACTCAAGGAGATTGAAGTGGTAATGGAAAGTGATACTGAAATCTTTACAGCACTTAATTTTTTTTTTATTGTGTAATATTATCTTAGCCTTGATCACATTTTATCAATGTATTGCTTTGCCAGAATCAAATCTGGGTTGTGACACTCAAATTTGTTCACCATTAGGACGAGTTGCAACTTTTAAAAATTGCAGAACGTTGCTTTGGTGGGAAATCTTGCTGGCCTAACTAGACTCTTGGTAGTAGGTCCTATTCACCGACCTGAAATGCTCTATAGGGCAAACATAGCAAGTTTAAAAACGTTAAAACATGTAAGGAATTTGTCTTGTACCTATAAAAGCCAGAAGTGTCAATTTTTGCTATTACTTTTGGCATGGAAGAATCTTTATTACTAGTTTTTTGCTATTGAAAGTTGCAAGGATTATAATAGTGATGATGCCTTCAGGACTTGGTACAAAATCAACAAATATCGCCTGGTTAACCTAAGATATGAGATCCTGTTTTATATAACCCAAGGCCTTTTAGAATAAGGTTTTTTCTTCTACTGGATCTAAAAAGCGGGTTGCATTTGAAGACAAGTTTGGAGGACTGTAGAGTCTTTGTTCTGTTTTAAAGTCTTCTACTAACAGTGCCTCCTACTGAAATAAGGAACCTGTGCTCTTTTAATTGAGAAAGAACTGGATATGTTTTGGGTTCTTTTTTCAGTTTGTTAGATGGCTAGCTGACTTGTGTAGGATTTTTTTTGTTTCTTTTTGTTGTTTAACAGTGTTTTTATTTTTAAAGAGCTGCTAGGTAGATGTGTCAGTATTTAAACTGGATGTAAACAAGTTTAATTTTAGATCTATGTGAAAACTTGTAATTAAAACATCTGATATACTTTTGAAAAATTAGCTTGAATTTCACAACTATTTCTTGCTAAGCAGAGCCTGAAAGCCAACAGCTCTAGTTGTCCTTAAAATTTAGTTTAACACTACTTTGAGTATACAGATGTCATTCATCTTGGATCACGTAAGAATATTGTGTTCCTTGCAAAAATGTTCAATGTACAGTGCCTTTCACTTGATTCAAAATGATTTTCCATTTAAAGTTTCAAAAACTGAATTGATTTTAAAAAGTTTAAGATATTTGCACTTTGATACTGTAGGCAAAAATGAGTTACAGGCAACTATGTAGGAATTTCATTTGAAAAATAAGCTCAAATGTGATGATGGATTGGGAAAAAGGCTGGACTCATTTGAGCTTTATAATATTTGCATAAATGATTGCTTTCGCAAGTGTAGTACACAGGTATCTGATAGTCAGAGAAGGCTGTCTTAAGGAAAGATGGGAACGTCTGTGGATTAAGAGTTTGGTACTGTATTTTATCTTTAATGATTAAACTTTTTAACTAGTGCACTGATAACTGTGCTTGAAAAATAGGAATATAATATTGTACTGTGAAGACTGTCAAAATAGTTTAATAAATTATTTATCAGAATTAATTATTTTAAAATATGTTAGTAATGGGCTAGCAAGTTGATTCTTCATCCCCCGAGGAGAAAAAAAAGAAACTAAGGCTGTAAATTTTATCTTGGCAGACTGAAAATGGTTTTTGACAGTCCTGCATCTTAGTGTGAATATGCAGGGGAAACTACCGTCAATTTTAGTGATGGGACAGACTTCTGAATCTGAAACTTTGAATGTATCTAATTCATTAAGGTACACAGAACTGTGCCTTTTGTAAATGTTTATTTAAACAGGTGATTTGACTAGTTTACCTTCTTGAATGGTGTAATGTAGCAGAGCTTAAGAGAACTAAATTATCACTTGTGTGGAAAAAAAAAATGAATTGTCATGTTACTGTGTAATTGACTTGCTTAAAAATGAACAATAAATTTAATAAAATAAAGTCATTGTCTTGTTTTTTATCTGCTTAGTGCTCTGTTTAAATTTGGATGCAATATTTGAGTAGCTGTGAAGGTTCCTATTTATTAAATTAACTTTTGGTAACATAATTTTAATTACATTAGTGTCAATTCTTATGTTTTTAATTTAATGAAATCAGAGAAGGGATAATCTTTAATACAGGTGGCAAAATATTGTTACCTGTAAGTTCTGTTAAAGTTTTGATTAATGATTAATACATGAAAGTTTAAGGTGAGACCAGTTAACTTTTAATAATACTATATAATGCTATTGTCATGTTCTTAGCTATTAAGATGGATGATTTATTTAGATATCTCAGATGGATGTAGAGGCAGACAGTTAAGTGAGGAATTTTGAGGAGATAAAGTTTGAACTTGATGGGATTTGTTGAAAGCAATGATGTTCACGTGATCAAACGGTTGAATAAATAAATAAAGGACCTCTTTACTATGAAAGAGTAAGGCAAGTTTGTTCTCGTTTTGTTTTTTTTTTTTTTTAATTTTATACCAGGGCCACAGCCATCTCTGGGAGTTAGTTTTGGAACGCCATTCGGCTCAGGTATTGGCACTGGCTTGCAATCAAGTGGCTTAGGTTCTTCAAGCCTTGGAGGTACACTTTAACTTTTCTAATGTTTCGTTGAATTACTGTACCGCACATCTGAATCTCTTGCAAACCTTAAGCTTCTCTAAGAGGATGATCTGTTTCAGTGATAGACCTGCAGTGTGACAATAGGTACTTTCCAAACTTCTTCATGCCTTGCAGAGAGCGTTACTAGGTTTGATAATGTTGTCCTGAAGACCCAGGATGAAGTAATCGCATAGGGGCGTCCCTAAAGCTAGGAGAAGTGCGTCAAGTACATCTCTTTGTAACTCGAATTCATTTGCAATGTATTTGAAAGTTAGGCACCTGAGACGCTGGAACATGCTATGGCTAACCTATAGACGTTTTTCACCTGTATGTACAACTGTCAACCCCTTTCTGCTTGTCTTAAGACAAGACAAAGTGCTAGGAAACAGCTATAATTCCAGGATCCTGCTTCCATAAACATATTTGCTCTAGCTGTCTGTCTGTCTCTTAGTGTTGAGGTGGGGAAAAAAATAATCCCTTTCTCAAGCTGTAAAGCAGTGCAACATGCAAGGGGAAAATATTTCCTTATCAAAATGTGGATCTATAGTGCAAGGAGGGAGAGGGTGTATACTAAAAGTGCACATGACCATGAAAGAGTAGGTAGCGGTCTCATGTTTATAAGTAAAACTCATGTAGGCCTTTTCATTTGAATGCAATGATAAGTGCAAGTCAGAAGACACTTGTGTTCTCTAAAGCTTTTGTGAGACCTGCAGAGAAAATTATTACTTCTGTTGAGTATAACCATAATGGATTGTGCTTGAATTTTTTATCAAACCCTATTCTCTCTGCAGCCCCACTGCCCATCCCTCCATTTATGAGCAAAATTTGGGAATCACTGTCATAAAATATTTCAAATAATTAAGTCATTCTAATAGCCAGTAATGTTTATCTCCTGCAGTATATAATACTTAAAGGTTATACCTGTTTTACCTTAACACAATCATCTTGAAATTATTTTTAAATCTAGTAATGTATTTTCTCAGACTGTAAACTTTTTCGGATAAAGGAACGCATATTCTCATCTAAAACAAGAAAAATTGCAAAGAACAGTGGGCTGAAGGAAAATATTTCTAAATATCAGATCATGCCCACAATGTTTTAGATGCCTTAAACATAGAAGACAGTTGCTTTTTCGACCCAAGAGCTTATAGGCTATAAGTTGTCTGTATATGTCCACACATCTTCCCAATATAAATCCAAGAACATTTTATTTTAAACAGATGGATATTGGCATCTAACAGTGTCTTAGAGGCCTAACTTTTATTCTTTCTTTACTTCTGCTTAGGAAGGTACTTTCTCCTATATTAATTTGTAGAAAAAATCTGGTCTCTTGACAAATCAAGAAGACTAATCTGAAGGAAGGAAGTAGTAGTAGAATAAAGAAAGATAGTAGAATACAGGAATACATGCAAAATACTCTGCAATGGTGTTCTTGGTAACAGATGAGCAGAGTGTATACTTCAGGCATTCATAAAAATATTTTTAATGGAAAAAACCTAATAGTGGTTTTTAATATATACTCTCAAAACTACACTTGAACTGGGAAAGCTTGCTCTTTTTTCATAATACATCTTTTGTGAACTGGCAGTGATAAGTACTTAAGTGCAAAAGCCTATTTATAAGATGTGCAGCGCATAGATTCTGTGCTTTGTGAAATATTTGCTGATACAAATACTTGCATGACCATTAGTAATTCATTTCAAGTTAGATGGGACAAAAAAGAAGTGTGACACTTAAGCTGTCTTGCGTTCAACTGATACTTGCCATAATACACACTTGGAACTCTTATTTGGTTAAAAAGTACAGGAGACTATGGAGTGCTCATTCAGACAATATGTCCAACTATTATTAGTTTTAAAATGTAAAACATTTCTTTAAAAGAATGGTAAGGGCTCCACTTAAAATACAAGTATTTTTCTTGACAGTTAAAATGGGGGCATAATTTCCTCAAATACTAAGACTGTTCTCACTTGGCTATTTCATCAAGTAGTTATCAAAAATTACAGAATATATTTCTTTCCTTTCCTTTTGTCTCAAGCTGCAAATATCAACTCACTTCTCCTGTGTTTTGAGGTCATTTCATATTAATAACAATATTTATATTTCAAAATTGTAAATATGTCAACTACAGAATGAAGAGAACTAGTTTTATTAAAAATAATATAATGATGGCAGATCATTTTTGTGATCGTTTTCCATTAAATACCACAAAATTCTATTTCCAAACCTATTTCATGATCTCTTAAATTGGATAAAACTGATCCCCAATAAAATAAAGCCGGATTTAAACTCAAAACGTTTACTCTGCTTTAAGCATAGAGGATTTTTCTCTTAGTTGTGGGTGAAGATTGTGGCTTTCTGTAATGTAATCCATATAACTCTTGTCAGAATTTTCTTAGTTTTGGCCCATGTAGTACATCACTTAATCTGCCAGTTTAATAACACTTGAATGGCAATATTGTAATCTCAGACATTTCACTTCGCCTCTGATCATTTACAGCATGTTCTTTTACTCAGTTACGATTTTTGACCTGAGTAGTTCAAGACTCTCAAATGCTTTCCTATTTGCACTTTGCTGTTTTCGCATGGAAGTTGGTGCTCCACTGAGAATAAAATATTCCTGGGAATATTTTGTCTACCAAATAATGCTTAGGATTATTTGCTTTTAGAATGCGTATCCAAAACTTGTGTCTTTAATTGCAGTGTCTGTTATGTTTTCTCTTGTATGTCCTTGCTATTATCCTACTAGGATTTGGAAGTAGCTCTGCCTTTGGAAGTAGCGCCACAGGCGCATCATCATTTGGATTTGGAACTACAAGTAAACCATCAGGAAGTCTAAGTGCAGGTTGGTTGGTTTTTTGTGAACTGAAGTTTATCTTAAAGCAAAAGTGCTATAATCAAACTACGACAAGCAGTCTAAGAAAGCTGCTGGAACAAATGTGCTTAAAGTTGCATGTGTGTATAACTATTACAGAGTGTTTGCTTGCTAAATAAGAACTTTCAGAGAAGCTTTTTGAGCTTTCTTTAAAGCATCCACTAATGGTTTTTCACTTGATGTTATCTATCTAACTAGAAGCGATAGCAGGAGGTTTGGATCAGAGTCAGTTTGAGGCGCACAAATGCAGTTACTTCTTAAATGCATAAGAAATACTGTTAGGATGCTATTGAAATTCCTTTTTAAATTTGTGATAAATATACCACTAACTTGATGTCCTGTATTCAAAAGTAAAGGTAAAACTATTCTTTTTAGAAGTTTTGAAGCTTCCCTTAGAGTTGCTTATTTGCTTATCCTGTATATTCTGAGTAGCAAGTTATAAGTATTTTATCTTTGTATATACTCATAATTCACCTGTATCTGTTAAGTATTTTGCAGACATTTCTGTAGCAGTGGAACTACTGATCTCAGTATTCATTTGACTTATCTGTGTTTTACTTAGTTGTTGATGAGAAGATGAAAACATAGATATCGTTGCTCCTTAACTCACCTCTGAAATCTCATAGTCACGTCTGTAGATTACATCTCTATTTACTTTTTAAATGGAAGCTGTTTTTGTCTGGAGTGTGTGTGGTGGTGTGGGTTTTTAATTTTTGTTTTGTTTTTAGCGTATAGTTTCCTACAGTCTGTGTTCAATGGCAGATTGAGAATCTAGTTTTCTGAGATTGGCTTTTAGTAGCATGTTTCTTTTAAAAAAGCAAACCTTTTCTTGGTTGGTTGGTTGAGGTTTTTTGTTTTGTTTAACAGCTATTATTATAACCGTAGTAAGTGGCTGGTATTTATTGTGTAAGTTTGTGGTACGTTATCTTGGACCAATGTCTTGTTAGTTGCCTTTTTCTTTCACGGTTAGCTTTGGGTCATTCTGTCAAATTAGGCCTATAAAGTATCTTAAATGTTATATAATAAAGTGGAAATAACTCACTAGGTTGACTGTATGACACTTATGGATGCATAACGTTCTTGTAAATTCTTGGTAGAACATCTCTGTTTTTGCGATATGCAGATTCTAAGCATCAACCTTCTTTTGCTTAGCTTTTAATATCAGAAGCAAGTAAAAACTTGCACCACTTAGCATTTTTATTTTGTAGCATCTTTTTCCTGAGCCTCTAAAGTATCTAATATTTCTTATAATTAACAGCATTGTAATTCAGCAGCTTGGAATTCTGTAAACTGTATAACTTGGTGATTTTATCATTTTTAAAAATACTATAATTGTAAAATTAGCTGTATGAATCAGTTGTCCATTGTTAATGAAGTGTCAAAGCAAAGTAAATAGCGAGTCTGTCTTAGCTGTGTTGGCAGTGTGCAGAGATAATTTAGATGTCATTTCACTGTATTCCTCAAACCAGGCTTTGATGGCAGTGCCCCATCCCTCTTTAGCAGTGAGGGAGTTGCACCTAGTAAAATGAAGATTGTTTTTGTTATCTCACGACCCTCAGCTACAGAAGGTGGTAACTAGGAATATAAAATACTAAATGTAATTCCTGTCATTTTGCATTTACAAAATATGAGTGTTCACAAAAATCCTGACCCAGAATGCTTAATTTGGGATTATGGAATAGAAATTTCCAGATAAATTTGGTAGTCCAGAAGTAGATTAACTTTTGTGTCTCTGTCCAAGTTTCTATGTTGTGTAGTAATAACAGTTTGACTTTAGTGCAGCAGCAGTCCTTCTGTCTTCTATATTAAGTGGATGAAAGGTAGAGCAACTACAGTCTTCACTTAATTTCTTTGCCACCCACAATTGTGAGATGGAACAAGTGCCTCAGACTTCTTCCTGAAACATGGGAAGAGCTTCCTTCCATCATGGAAAGATGACTTGTAACCTTCAGTCCCGATTAATTTTTACTCTTCTTCATGTGATGGAAACCCAAAAGGCTTGACTGGAGTGGGTGGTTGTAAAGAGCATTATGACACGCAAAGTGATGGAAAAGGCAGGAAAAAAGAAACCACCATAAAACTTATAAGATGTTATTTATATATACATCAAAATATATATAACACCTTAACATTATTTCTATAAATCTCATATAATATATATAAATAATATATTTTGTATAATTATATAAAATTTTGTATGCTTTTTTTTAAATGAAAGCTGAGGCGCTAATCGTGCTTTGAAGATCTGAGTCAGAAATTTGTTTTGGAGACTTTATTAAAGAATAGAATACTCAATACAATGGTATTAGAGAAGATCTTAGAGGGGGAAAAAAGAGAAATTTCTCAAATTTCTAGCATTCTCTAATAGTTTCAACTCTTTATTTTAGTTGGCTATGCATAATTGGTACAAATTCACAAAGCGAAGTAAAATCAATTGATGTTACGGTTGCTGAAAACTGCAGCCAGACTTTGTTCAACTAATTTTGCTTTATAGCTGAAGCAAAGGAAACTTCTCTTTTTGTTTACGTTTGTGGAAAAAGGGGAGGGGACTGATTTACAACAGCGAAAATCACTCACCTATTTATTCAGCTTTCCAAAGCTTTGTTTTCGATGTTGTTTTTTAATTCAAGTCTTAAAAGGTATTTTTTAATACTAAGAACTTGAGATAGAAATTGCTCAGAAATCCTTTTCATTTAAGGTGTGGTGTGTGCCACATACGTTATGAAGATAGGGAAAGGTAGTCCAGTTAATAGGGCACAAATCCGCAAGCTGTTAAGCTGCTGCGAAGAAAAACGAGCAGACCGTGGGCTATTTATACTTCTGCTTTCCCTCTCACCCTACTTATGCGTTGTGTGTTTAGACTGAGAACTTGAGGAAAGAGTTATGTTTCTATTACAGTAGGGCTTCAGTTTCAGTGGGACCTTTGGGTGCTACTGTCTTAGCAGTGTAATGGTGTAATAGACAACTGTACTCTAGGATGCAGTGATTTTAAATAATTGGGGCAGATTGTTAATGGTATTAATGGCCCATTGTGTTAATGGTGTATATCCAAGTTACCTTAGCAAGTCTAATGCATTAGCAATGTTGACACACTGTGGATCCATTTGAGTATAGAATAGTACAAGTATTGGTAGTAACATTGCCCATGTTCACAACTCTGAGGAAAAACAAATTTGCAGTCATGATAAAACTTGTGTTTTAAAATATTTTTTCCCTCCCTTATAAGGCTTTGGCAGCTCGACTACATCTGGGTTTAACTTCAGCAATCCTGGCATCACAGCATCGGCTGGCCTGACGTTCGGGGTTTCTAATCCTGCGTCTGCAGGCTTTGGGACAGGCGGGCAACTTATTCAGCTGAAGAAACCCCCAGCTGGAAACAAGAGAGGGAAAAGATAGGCCCTCTTTTAG